TTTAGTCGATTTTTAGACCAAACCCCTGGGTTTGGGTTAGACAACCAACCAATTATTTATACTAGGCCTCCATATGATTCATGTTCGCTCACTTTGGCAGGTCTGCAACCACGTGCTAGTTAAAATTTAACAATCTAGCGTTGAGACCATATAGAGCCAAGATAAAACTCGCAGAAAAGGAGAATAGAAGTAAGACAGAATTTTGTCGCGAGGGAGGGGGGTGTTGAATTGTTATAATTATGGTGGACCAGGTCATATGCTTTAGGAATGCCTTGGTTGTGGAAAATTTGGGCATATAGCCCCTTCCAATGAAACAGGAGAAATTACGATATGCACAATATAGCTGTTTGGGTCATAAGCAGGAATATAATACGAGTAATTACAATAACAAAAATGGCTTTCCACAGAAAGGGTCTGACCAAAATGCATCAAATGTAAAGAGTATTGAAAGGGATGAAAATGGAAGTAGTTAATGTGCCTAATATAAAAAAACTGGGAAGCTAAGTATGGAAAATTTTAGGTGTTGAAAACCGGGATATTAGGCAAGGGACAGTGGGAATTTGTGACTATATGATGGCAAAGAATTAATACGGGGGTAATACGGTTAAGAATGACAAAGGAAGTGCTTTCTCAGGGAAAAATAAATAAGGGGGGGATGTAAAAATATGCTAAAGGAGTGGGTGGTACATGATATTTGTCCCATAGTGATGATAAATTTAAATGGAAGATTGGTTCCTATGTTGTTTGATAGTTAACAGCTATTTTGGTAATTGGGTACACTAGGTATCATAGTATCTGGCTGGAGGGAATGATGGATTACGAATATAGCAATTTAATCGAACACAGTTGGCTGCTATGGGTAGGGAAGAAATTGAAGCAACATTTGGTGAAAGGATTGAGGTATTAGATTTATGGATTAACAAAGAAATATAGAAGTTATGTTGGGGTGGGACTGGATATCTGGAATTGGTCCATGGTATAGTTTTTGGGGAGTATTTGCAAGGTAGAGTGTACTTGTACTAATAACTAGTGAGGAATATACGGTTATGACGTTTGAGAGTACGAATGTATTCTAGGAGCGTATAAAGGGAAAATATTTCTGAGGGAAAAATAAGCAAAAATTTCTCGGGGAAAGCCGAACTTTTTAAAGGAGATTGTGATATTAAGAGAAGGGAGAAAGGGAAGACTGGGCAGAGGGACGTATGGCAGTATAAAAAAATCTAGAGTTGATGATTACTGTAACGCAGAACGGTGAAGGGGAGTTGCTACTCAAGGAAGAAGATATAGGGAAATTTGGAATGATGAAAGTGCAAGAAGGAGTTCGGAGATTAATACAGAATTATCCAAAAATTTTAAGAGATATTAAAGTGGATATAAAATTGAAGGAAACAGATGTACCAAAATTTTGTATATTACAACGAGTACAGTTCAAATGGAGAAAAGAAGTAGAAATGGAATTGGATCTATTGGTACAAAAGGGTATTGTATATCCCGTGGAATACAGTAAATGGGCGACTCCACTGGTGCATGTAAAGAAATGGCCGGTTCCGCCTATGGGTAGATTTTGGGGTCACGCTAAATCCGTGAGCTGTAGAAGTTAAATACCTGTTGTCGCGAATTGAAGAAATATTGGCCAATTTAAAGGAAAATATTTATTTTTCAAAGTTGATTTCTCAAATGCCTAGCTGCAGCTGCGTGTAAAACCGTAGGTAAAGAAATTATTAACCATTACTACGCCAAAGGGATTGTTCACATTTTGTGCCATTTGGACTTAGTGTATCAGCTCTTAATGATCTATTATATGGACGATGTGTTGGTGTCTAAAAGAACCCCCAAACTGCATGAACGGAAATTGGGGGAAGTATTTCGGAGAATCAAAAAAAGGATTGCGGGCAATTGCTGAGAAAAGTGTGTTGAAAGGTTATATATCTTGAGCATAAAATTATGGGAAAAAAGGTGAGACCATTGGATAAAAATATGACAGGGATTACCAGGATGTTGAGACCTTATAATAAAGCAGAAGTGCATGCCTTTTTTTTTATCATCGGTTTTAGAAGGATGCTCAAATAACAGCGCCATTTTATCAATTGCTTAAAAAAGGGAAGAAATTTGAATGAAAAGTGGAACAAGATGCAACTTTTGAAGAGTTGAAGTGCAGAATTGGAAAAGAACCCATCATAGTGTGCTTTAATAATAAATTGGAGGTGTTAATGGCTGTGGATGCGTCTAATAAAGGTGTAGTTTTGTTGGATTGTATTGATAAATTAGAGAGACCAGTGTTATTTTTCTCAAGGATATTTAGAGCAGCAGAGATTAGGTATTCCGCGATTGAGCAAGAAGTGCTAGCCGTCATACTTGGATTAACAAAATTCCGAGAATATCTGATTGGGCAGGTTTTTTATACGGATCATAAGCCGCCAGTACATCTACTTAAGGATATAAAAAATTAATGCAATCGCCCTGGCTACAAAGATGGCTATTGCTGGGTAGTTTTGATGTACAAGTGAAATAAGATAGGAAGAGGAAATTATTTACCTGACATTTTATCTAGATGCAGAGCTGGAGAAGATTTCGGGAGGGGGGGGAAGAACACGAAGAATGGGACGAGAAAAACGAGCAAGTGCTCATGAGAACTTAGGCTGGAATATCCAGAGATGGGCAGTGACGTAGGAGGAAATTAAAAAGGTTACAAGATCGGGAATTGAGGCTAATTAAAGCGTGCATAAAAGGACGGAAAGCATGGCAGGATGGAAATAAAACGTTCAACTATAGAAAAAGAGTTAGTTATGATAGATGAATGTCTAGTGCGGAGAAGTGGGAGGAGGCAGTGATGGCAATAATTCATGTTGGACATCAAGAAATGGAAAGAAAGTAACAATGGGGATGAGAATTATGGTGGCCGGTGAATAAGGATATTAAAAATATCAGCCAAACATGTGTTAGATGTAATACCTGGGCCACGATGTCTCGAAGAGACATGGGAAAAGTGTGGCCGAAAGCAACTCAGCCGTGGGAGTGTGCATATTGATTTTGAAAACAATATATATACTCGTGGTGAATGCTTATTCAAAGTGGGTAGAATATGAAGAAGTAAAAGGCAAAATCTTTAAAAAATCTATGACTAGATTCGGAGTCAATACAACAATCGTATCGGACGGAGAGCCAGCCTTTATTAGTCCAGTTCAAGGTCTTTAGTGTGGAAATTGGAGAAAAGCACATTTTGGCGCCACCATATCACCCGAGTTCGAATGGGCAGGGGGAGCGGATGGTAGCATGGTCAAGAACTGGTTGAGAAAAACAAAGGATGAGGACGGAGAGATTTGGGTGGTAGTGGCGTATTACAATAACAGTAAAAAAAGTGGAGGAGGAATCGCCCGCGGAGAAGTTTTTAGGTAATAGAACTAGGATTTGGTTGGATTGCCAACTGTGCAAAGAGAGGAGAGGACCACGACGATGAGCCTGAATTTATGGTAGGAGAGACAATATGATAACTAAAAATGTAAGTCCGGAGTGATTTTAGAAAATATGGGGTGAAAATTGAGTAGTTTTTAGAAGGGAGAGAAAGGGTTCGGCACCGAGATCAGCTCCGCAGAAGGGTAGAACTAAAAGGGTTGTGTGGTTCCGTCAATAAGAAAATATCACAGAGAAATAAGTAATATATGGAATAGTAAAAATCTGGTGATCTAAGATAAATAAAATTGCTTTTTTGTGGCAAGTATTGTAACATCTCACGGGTTATATTTTAATTTAAAAAAAATTCGGAATGTTCCCATTTGACCTTATCTTTGAAGTTTCAAATTAATTGTTAGCTAGTATGTATTCTTATATTTCTTAAACTAATCGAGAGATATATGGTATAATGTTTGAAAATTTTTAAGCTAATTGGTAGAAATTAATATTTAAGAAAAAATCTTTTAGTTTTTTATTAATATTTAAAAAAATGAAAATTAAGAATTATGAAAAACATCCGGGGTACCTATTATCCTTTCGCGTTGTTAAATTCACCAGGATCATCTATATTAAATATCACCATGAAGAGCATGTTGTTACTTAAAACTATCATATAATTTATAAAAATAAGTCAATAATCTTCATATTGTCATACGGGGCCTTAAACAAACTAGTGACATCTAATGTTCTTATTAATTTAGTTGATTTTTTTTATTCAACATAATTCCTTCTTCATATCCCGTCAAAACTTTCCCCAGGTCTTCACAATTATACTTTAATTTGTAGATATTAAATTACCATAAATATTGATACCATGATAGAATTAATTGTATTTTACCATTTAGAATTGATATTTAGTCTAGTAGCATTAATAAGTAAAAAATTAAGGTTACTTTTGATGTATTTAATTAATTTAAACTTTTTCATGAGCAATTTACCTATTATCATATTTTTTGTTAATATATAAAAATTTACAGCCCCTCCCCATGCCAAATTGTTAAGCAATACATCACCGGCCACAGTACTCTATTTTTTTTAAGTAGCCAGTCATTAGTGAAGCTTTATTATGCGTTAACATATGGAAAAATAAGTGATTGATGGTAAAATGCATCTGGAGATGTAAACTAAATTTTCGATTTAATGATTTATTTTCGCATGTAGTGAAGTTTTAGACAAAGTTTGAAAAAAATGATGTTTTTGCCCAAATTTTTTTTTAATGATAGATATTTTATGCCCAATAAAATCATTTAAGATTTGGAATTTAAATAAAATTTAATCAAAAATCCTGTTTAATCATTCTCAAAGATATCTTAATTTTATTATGCCTCTGGTTAATATTAAATGTTTAATTCTTATTACAAAGCTCATATTCACCCTTTAAAATGACGATTCATTCTAAAATGTCACACTGGGCCAATTATAAGTATATTATATCAAAAAGATAAAATATTTCATAAAAATTTTGTAAGGAATTAGTTGAGAAAAATATAATTATTTTTTAAAAAATACTAAAAAAACAAGAAATTATGATTATTTATTTGCAAAGGTGTAATGGAATTTGAAAATGGTGCATAAATAAGATGAAAAAAACATAACAAATTTTAAAAATGCTAGTAAAATTGATAGGGGAAATTTCCCAATAACAAAGTATTTCTTTCAAAAAAAATATACGTGAATAAAGGTTATTTAACAATATTACTAAGATCTCATAATAATAAATCTATAACCAAAAATATAAATTTGAATTATTATTCGTAATAAATATACCATATTTTTTATTAATACTAATTACTTTATGATAAAATTTTTGCTAATATGAAATATTGAGAGATAATGTGCAAAAATATGATTTTTTCGGGTAGAAATTTTTCCTAAATCCCCTGTTCCCTCTCCCAACATTTTTTTATAATACATCACTTTTGTTTAAAAAGATTTAAAATTTCGATAAATCCGATATAATTTATTATTAATAAATATTATGGTTTCATAAATCGGATGTCATGAACGCCGAAGGCCCAACACCGACTACCCATAGAAAATAAAACATCGCGCATATGAAAGCCAGAGCAAACAGTATAAGGACCAATGTCCGAGGGGAAAATTCTGCGTATGAAAATAGAATTGTTAAATGAATAGTGTAATATTCCAAGTATATTAGGTTAACATAATTACCTATTTCTAAATACATATACAATAATAATATAATAGCAAAACTTTATTCATTAAAATTTTAGAACACACCTAATAAAAAACCTTTTCTGTAATACTTTAACTTATAAAAAGTCATCGAAAATATCTTATATATCTGGTAAGATTTACCATAAACAAATACATAAGGAAAATATAATATATATATAAGATTAGGCCTATTCAAAAAGTTTAAATGAATCGAATAATTTACTATCTGTATTCATAAAAATAATGATATTATTTCTCTTTGATTCAAATAATTCATTTTTAAACTTTTTATTGCAAAACTAATTATAAATAGAAAAAATTATTTTTAGGATCAAGTTATTAACCAAATTAAAAGATTTTTTGATAGCAAATTAGGTAAAACAAAGAAAAGCTTTTCACCAGTAGTTGATATATATACCTGGTTAATCACATCACCTGCCTGAGAAAGGTTATCAATAGAAATGATGGATTATTATGAAACATATTAATAATTATTCTGAATAATTCGAATATTCGAGCGTGAAATTATTCGTTTTATTCGAATCGCATAATTCTTTACTAGTATTCGGACAAAACGAATAATTCATTATTCTTATTCGTTACTATTTAACTCATTTTTGAATAGGCCTTCGATCTCTAATATAGTATTTCCATTTATATTAATAATAGGTATCACGACAATTTCTGTGAATATTTTATTTAAAGGATTTTAAATAAATCCTTAATTTCCATGGTTTCTCCTTTTTCAAAATAAAAGCTTAGCAATAAAAAATGTCCAGAATTGGGAACGTGGACTAGATTTTTTCATGGTTCTTTAATTTGAAGCCGATTCCTAATGTTCCAAAGGTTATGGTCCAACTACGCTAAAGCAATAAAAAATGGCCATGACTGCTACTAACGCCAGTGATATTTAGTGAAAAAACTAAATAATCACACCCTCGGCTCGTTTATTAAATATGTTTAACACCATGTGCCCGCGATATTTAAAATCATCCATTTTATTAAAAAAATGGATTTTATTTTTAAAGTTATTGAATTATGCATTATGTTTATATTTCAATAATTAACCAATTAGCATAGTATTTTTTATATATTAAATTTAAATATTCTCTGGGTAATGTTTCATAATTAACCCAGCATTCAGCATTATACTGTTTTAGTATTAAAAATACTTTGAGTGTACAGATTTATTTTATATAAATTTTTAATTTAAATAATAGGTATTCACTGGTTAGAGCAATTTTTTGATTCCCCTTATCTACTTCCATAAATTTGCTGCTTCTGGAAGGCACAGAATCAGAAAGTACAAAGGTAAACAATTTTTTTTACATTTAATAATTAAACATGACATGAAGATATTTTATGCTATTCTAAATACTTTTTCAGTTGAATTCAGGCCAAATTTTATTAATTTTAAAACTAATTACTGTCTTAGTTAATAGATTTTATGATATATTACAAATATCCTACTTCATGACGAGAAACTATAATTCTATATTAAGTTATGCAATGAACTATATTTTTAATCTTTTAAGCATTATTGTATAAAGCCTGTTGACATCAATATGAGGTAGATAAGGTTGATCCAATTATAAGTGATGGAAACTGTTTTTTCAGGCATTTTATTAATGACAACTTATAGAATCTATTCTAAATATTATTATAGATGTCTTAGCAAGGAAATCAGCAATGATGAGCAACATCATGAAATGATCAAGACTGTTCTGATATCTTTTATCCTTCAAGAAAAACATATCAACTTCTTTAGCGGATTCATAGGGGATAACACAATGTATTACATTGTGAAAAACAAAATGGGTTGCAATGGCACGTGGGCTACAGCTATTGAGATTTCCTATGCGGACATTGCTTCAAACGAATATCTTCGTTTTTTTATATGACAAATGGCTTTTATTTCATCTATTATTTATTATTCCTGAAATAAATAAATTTATTGGTTGTGTATATATATATATAAGAAATTTAAATTATCATTATAGTATAGTTTTATCTTGTAAATAATATATTATAAATTCATTTATAAACATATATGCCTGGGGCATTTTTTATATTTTAATAAAAAGTAGTATATAGTCAACTAATTGTATTTGTGCATAAAAGAATATTTGTAGCCTACTTTTATCATGTAAATAATATATTATCAATTCATTTCAATAACAGTTATTAAAATTTTTTACTGTTTAACTCTTCAAATCAGGTAGAAAACCCACATAATGGGCATGATTATGTTGGGTCTATGCAATCATAAGCTCCAAAAAACCATTATAACTGCTTAATCATAAAACAAAATTAAAATATTTTGCAGATATATACAATACCTACTACAAATATTAAGCTAAAAGATCCATGCAAAAAAATAGGTAATAACATTTTTTATACAACTAGAGTATGTATAGCCCATCCCCCTTCCTCCCCCCTACATGCTATAAAGGATTAAGTATTTTTTCTGTATTTATCATTTTAAATTATTTTATGAAAAGTAAAGAAAAATTTTCTAGTCAGTTAGAATAATATATTAACTTTTAAGGTGGTAAAGTCGCATTTTCTTTCATAAAAATCTAATTCGTCGATATCTTTTACTATTTAAATATTTTCATCGGAATATCGGCGTTGTAAATTTGAAATAATTAAATCAAGGCATACATAGTAAATCTTTATTCGGTAATACTATTCTGGGTAATCGATATCAAATCGATAACTTTTCGGCCCGACCTTTTTAATGTTTAGCATTACTGAGAGAACATCATAAAGCATGAAATCCAAAATTTTAGCCTCCAAGTACTAATAGTTTCTGAGATATCAATGGTCAAAAGTGCCAAAAATGACCTTTTTTCGAAAAATACGATTTTATTAAAAAATAATGATGCTAAAAATAAAAATTATATGTCATTTTTAACTATTAAAGGCCTTTAATTAAATATTAAAATTTTTTATAAAATAAATCTTGCGGTTTTTATTTAATTTATAAATTTTGAACCAGAAGGCTCCAGGTGTTTTGCTTTCCGAATTTTTTGAATTTAATATTTAATTATTCACTTATATTAAATATTTATAAAAAAAAATTTAAACTTGGGACAGCAATGGTTTTCTTATTTATTATAAAAAAATTTTAGATGGCGCTCCTAATAAAATAATGCATTTTTGCTATATTTCGCCAATAATCATTTCGACTAACGGCAATTTTTCACAGTCTACATATATTTTTTTAAAAACTTTATCACGAAAATTTTTTAGCATAACAAACGAAAATCGCGAATCATTATTTCTTAAACAAAAACTTCAATTGAAAATTTTTAAACACAATTATACTTGCTTTTTAGGTACATTTTCATTATTAAATTAAGCTCTTTTTATAGCCTTCGATACTATTAATATATATTTTTATTTTATATATTTTTATATAGTTGTTTTAATATTTTAGTGTTTTATCATTTTTTTTAAATTATACCAATATCAATATTATCAAAATTTTAAAAATTATATAATATATGAAAATTTATAAATAATTATTAGATTTCAGTAATAAAATATTTTCAAATTTTGATCATTAAGGCATCCTCGTTTATCTGTAAAGACATTTTTATCTACACGTCTTTCTAGTGGTGTTATATTTTATAAATAACAATTTTAAATCAAGATATTCTTTTAAATAATAAAATCTCGACATTCATTTTTGGAAAAATTTTTTAAATTTGTTAAGTATCAAAATTTAAATCATTATTAACAATCATATCTGCTGCTGTGGGATACTGAAAAAAATCGGATATTAAATTATTTGTTTGTAATCAATTGAAGACCTTGATAATTCATCATAATCTTTGTATTAATTATTTCATTAACAGTGTTTGATGCTTTCTCTTAAAATTACAATAGTAAACCTTTATTTAGTATCTATACCCTTAAATGTTTTACAATGGGAGTCTATTACATCTTTTAATCTTATGCGAGAGATTAGCATGTAATCTATCTGTGTTTTCCTTGTACCACTTTCGTATGTTATTAAATGAGTGTCTTTTTCCTATAGTAGGTGTTGGTTAAGGCAAGGTCGAAGGCTTGCGCAAATTTCAATACGTGCTCTCCTTCATCATTAGACTTCAAAGTCATCCCAGGAGAAGATATCGCCACACAACACAAGCTACTAGTCATGGATTTACACATCTCAAATAAATCCACTCAACACAAGATAAAACTGGAACCATGCATCAAATGGGGCAAATTAAAAACAATGACAGATGCCTTTGCAATCAATGCAAACATTGAAACAATAGATTCCTCACAAGTCAGTGAAAAAATGTGGACAGACCTTTCATCCAGATTAATAGACACTGCCAAATCGACACTAGGATTGACAAGGTGAGGCAACAATTCATACAAAGAACTATGGTGGTAGAATGAAGAGGTACAAACCACTATAAATGAGAAAAAAGCCCTATATGTGGTACAAATCCAAAAACCCAGATGACAATTACAAAAAATCCAAGAGAATAGCTACAAAGGCGGTGGCTAGGGCCAAATCTATGGCATACGATGACATGTATGAAGAACTACATACAAAAGAAGGGCAAAATAAAATATAGAGATTAAACAGCGAGAAAAGAACTCTAGGGATATAAACGGAGCTCCGAAAGTAATCAAAAATAAAGATGGGAAATTGATAATAAAGGAAAAAGAAATAATGAATAGATGGAAAGAATATTTTCAGGAACTTCTCAACTTTAATCCATACATACTACATCTAGACGAACACTCCTCATGTCAAAACCTTGTACAACCTATAACAGAACAAGAAATAATCACATGCCTTAAGCATATGAAAAATAACAAAACTAGGGGTCCAGACGATATTCCAATAGAAAGCCTTAAAGCACTAGGAGATGATGGAATACATCTCCTCACAAATCTGT